GAGGAGCAGCTGTGTTTAGTTCTCGTGGATGGAGGCAGGGAGAGGAATTTGATTTCCTCTCGAGTTGTGAGCAAGCTAGGGCTGCAAACGCAGATGATTCCGAAGCCCTATGTTTTCGAATCACCATATGAAAACAGATTCGTCATCGTAGTATCTCAGGTAAATGTGAAGTTTTCGATAGGCCAGTACGAGGATCATATTACGTGTGATGTGATATATAACCTCCCCAGCAACATCGTATTGGGACAGCCATGGTTCAGAGATCATCAAGTTTGATTTGTAAGTCGACGGAGGAAGAAGTTTCGACTTCGGAGTCAAAACAATGTGTTCGTTGTGAACCCTTTGGCTCCAGAAGCAGCAGTCAATGACTTGAAGGCGCTGCAACGAATCCAGGAGGAGTATCAAAGGGAGCTACTGGCAAAACCATGGTCGTGGAAGTCCAATTCAGCCAAAACGTCGGGCAGAGAAGGAAGCCTCTGTTCGTCGACAGCAGAGCAACGCAGAGACGAGAAAGGATTGGGCAACGACGTGGGGAAGCCTTTGAACAAAACCAATGATTCAGAAGCCTCTGTCGGCACCCCAGAATTGAATTGGAATGAAGGAACAAGATCGATTCAAGCTGAAGCGCTGATTTCAATTCCTTCTGAACACTCCTGTTTTTCGACGATAGAGCAAGGGAAGAGAGAGGGTCAATTGGGGGGAGAGTTCGGCAACGATTCGAAGTCACCCACTGGTGCCGACGCGATCCCCACAAACCCAGAAACATCAGAAGAAGCTTCATTGGAGTTGAACGTCCCCGGAATTGACGATTCGATCGTCACCAATACGCCCCTGTTCGTGAAGCAAACTGCCGACAAAGACCCACTCTTGGGTGCAGCAACCCAGCTCGATTCGAGCCAAAACAACGACACAGAATCGTTCAATGATGTCCATGAAACGTGTAGAAGTCTTCAATTCGCCGCAAAGAAGTCCTGATCGAAAACGCCCAATTCGAAAATTTTTGGCCGAAAATTTGGAGAAGAAAATAACGAATCGATTGGAGCATTTTCAAGTGAATCAATCGAGACTAAGGTTCTGGACACGTTTCTGGCGGTCAAAGGAAGTATTAGGGATGGTCAATTCGTCTTGAAGAAGCCAGATTCGAAAACGCCTAATTTTGCAATTGGGTCGCCGGAATCTGGAAATTGGTCACCGGATTCTGGGAAAAAGCTGCCGGATTCTGGGAATTTGAAAATTCCCGACGGCGGGAAATTTTTAAAGGCTGGATTGCGACAAATTGAAGATGTACGAAGGTTGGAAGTTGCTGGGATCGATTCCTTGGAGCCTGGGAAGTTGATTACGAGTGGTGAATTGGAACGAGCTAGCTTCAAGAGGAAATTCCAAAATTTGGAACCCTCGCCGGGAAATTTGAGTTCGCCGGAAACTGGAACTTTGGGAGGAAGAGTTCTGGGATCGATTGCGTAGACTTTGTGCGTGGGAAAGGTCCGTTGGAGTCCCACGAACGTCATGGAACTTAAATCGTGGAAAACAGGGACCTATTCGCAAGTTCACGAAGTGTTGAAGTTCTACACTACAAGTTCGAGGGACCTATTTCGTGACTCGATTTGGGAGGAATTTTGTGACGTTTTTTACAAGAAGCAGCTTCAAGCTTTGAGGTCAAAGCTTTTTGAAGAGAGGGAGCCTGATATGATCCCAATTGGATCAATTCACAATTACTTGTCAAAGAAGCCATCTCAACTTACAAGAAGAGTTCTGATTTTGGCTAAGTGTTGGGAGAGTTTCGAGATACCTACTTTGGAGGCATGGTTCTCTCAACTGGATGGGTGGAAATTCAAGGTTAGGAGTTTGTTTTGCAGATAAAGTTTCCATGTTTCCAATGGTATGCTTTTTGGATCCAGAAAATGTCATTAAAGTTGTTTTCCAAGGCCTCAAAGTTGCTACCTCAAAACTGGAAAACTGCCATAAAATGACTAAGGCAGAAAACTGTTTTGTGAAGCCTACTTTGGAGCTCAATTCAAGGAGCATGGATAAGATTCAAGTCAAAAGGCTTCCACAACGTGAAACTAGGTATGCTTGTGAACAAAGGAAAGGAATTGGATGAAGAATTTGAAGAGGGAGAGCCTGATATGATCCCAATTGGATCAATCCACAATTCACAATTACTTGTCAAAGAAGCCATCTCAACTTACAAGAAGAGTTCTGATTTTTGGCTTAGTGTTGGGACAGTTTCGAGATACCTACTTTGGAGGCATGGTTCTCTCAATTGGATGGGTGGAAATTTAAGTTTAGGAGTTTGTTTTGCAGATAAAGTTTCCATGTTTCCAGTGGTATGCTTTTTGGATCCAGAAAATGTCATTAAAGTTGTTTTCCAAGGCCTCAAAGTTGCTACTTCAAAACTGGAAAACTGCCAGAAAATTACTAAGGCAGAAAACTGTTTTGTGAAGCCTACTTTGGAGCTCAAATTCAAGGAGCATGGATGAGATTCAAGTCAAAAGGCTTCCACAACGTGAAACTAGGTATGCTTGTGAACAAAGGAAAGGAATTGGATGAAGAATTTGAAGAGGGTGAGCCTGATATGATCCCAATTGGATCAATACACAATTCACAATTACTTGTTAAAGAAGCAAACTCAACTTACAAGAAGAGTTCTGATTTTTGGCTTAGTGTTGGGACAGTTTCGAGAAACCTACTTTGGAGGCATGGTTCTCTCAACTGGATGGGTGGAAATTCAAGGTTAGGAGTTTGTTTTGCAGATAAAGTTTCCATGTTTCCAATGGTATGCTTTTTGGATCCATAAAATGTCATTAAAGTTGTTTTCCAAGGCCTCAAAGTTGCTATCTCAAAACTGGAAAACTGCCAGAAAATGACTAAGGCAGAAAACTGTTTTGTGAAGCCTACTTTGGAGCTCAATTCAAGGAGCATGCATGAGATTCAAGTCAAAAGGCTTCCACAACGTGAAACAAGGTATGCTTGTGAACAAAGGAGAGGAATTGGATGAAGAATTTGAAGAGGGGGAGCCTGATATGATCCCAATTGGATCAATTCACAATTACTTGTCAAAGAAGCCATTTCAACTTACAAGAAGAGTTCTGATTTTTGGCTTAGTGTTGGGACAGTTTCGAGAACTACTTTGGAGGCATGGTTCTCTCAACTTGATGGGTGGAAATTCAAGGTTAGGAGTTTGTTTCGTAGATAAAGTTTCCATGTTTCCAATGGTATGCTTTTTGGATCTAGAAAATGTCATTAAAGTTGTTTTCCAAGGCCTCAAAGTTGCTACCTCAAAACTGGAAAACTGCCAGAAAATGACTAAGGCAGAAAACTGTTTTGTGAAGCCTACTTTGGAGCTCAAATTCAAGGAGCATGGATGAGATTCAAGTCAAAAGGCTTCCACAACGTGAAACTAGGTATGCTTGTGAACAAAGGAAAGGAATTGGATGAAGAATTTGAAGAGGGGGAGCCTGATATGATCCCTATTGGATCAATCCACAATTCACAATTACTTGTCAAAGAAGCAAACTCAACTTACAAGAAGGGTTCTGATTTTTGGCTTAGTGTTGGGACAGTTTGGAGAAACCTACTTTGGAGGCATGGTTCTCTCAACTGGATGGGTGGAAATTCAAGGTTAGGAGTTTGTTTTGCAGATAAAGTTTCCATGTTTCCAATGGTATGCTTTTTGGATCCATAAAATGTCATTAAAGTTGTTTTCCAAGGCCTCAAAGTTGCTACCTCAAAACTGGAAAACTGCCAGAAAATGACTAAGGCAGAAAACTGTTTTGTGAATTCTACTTTGGAGCTCAATTCAAGGAGCATGGATGAGATTCAAGTCAAAATGCTTCCACAACGTGAAACTAGGTATGCTTGTGAACAAAGGGAAGGAATTGGATGAAGAATTGGAGTTCGGGAAGGCCTCGAACGAAAGGTGCAAAGTTAGTACGAAAGCTGTCTTTTGACTAATTTTGCGGGCAGCTTACTTGTGCGCCAAGAAAGGAAGTTTATGGCCGAATTTTGAGTCCTTTTTAGAGTTTGTTTTTACCATAATTGTTTCCTAGTTCTATTAGGTTTGTATTAGGATTTTATTCTCTTTAAATAGCTTTCATTCTCACGTTGTAAAAGATAGAGTTGAGTTGAATGAAAATTGCTCCTTTGTGAGAATTGTGTTCTTTGAGAGTTCTCAAAAATCAAATCCTTGAGTTAGTTTTGTGAGGATTCCATTGCTAATTCGAGAACCCTTGTTAATCTTATCTGGGAGGATTCCAGATTCGGTTTACGAGTTTTCTTATCAATCAAGTAATCACCTTGATTGTGGCGAAATTCTACCTTTTCCATCATTATCGTTCCAGAGTGTGTTTGCTGCGTTACTTTGATCAAAAGCACCCCTGGTGCTTTATCACTTCTTCTCATGGGCTTTGTTGAGTTAGGTTTCATGCCACTTTGGCATTGTTTTGGGCCTATTGGGATGGGGCCTTCATGTTCCCTAGTCGATTTTTGTTGTCCTTCCGTTACTATCTTCTGCTCTACACTACCCCCAACAAGCATGGTTTTAATGAGTTTAAAATATTCTTAATAGTTTTGAAAGAAAAATATTATTTTAAATTTTATTTATTAGAAATTTTATGATAAGACACCCCTTGGTGGAATCATTTGGTACGCCACCGATTGCCACAATAATAATAACAAGTACTACTATTAATAGACATAACAATCACATGGGTCATTATGTGTTTTTTTGCCAAAACGCCTCTCCATTATTATAGGATGGGAAGCCCTCCTCCCCACAAATTCTACCATCTATTATTCTATTTTGAAATACCCATATCCCAGAGCATAAATAAATTCTACCCATAAAACTAACCAATCTTTCTCCTACTACATATAGAATTCTCACCTACATGATGAGCAAGATATATCTAGATCATCATTATCATATCATCATGCCTTGTAATTTCACAACATTAGTAGCACGATTCTTTTGGCTACTGATCATCACCGCAATCCCTCGCATGCTCGTCGTCGAAAGCAGTCCAAACCTCGGCCTCACCTCGGCCTTCTGCGGCTCGCAGTTTGACGACAGCCCACTGACGAGAGAGAGAATCCGGGGAGTGGTGGAAACGGCGACGACCTCCGGCAGGCGGTGGGTCCCGGCGTATTGTGGCGCCTCGGATGTTCACGATGAACCCCATCTGTACGCGAGATCTTCTTGCTCCCGCACCATTTCCAGGGAGGACTGCACTGCTTGTCTCGAGGAAGCCGGGGCTCGACTGATGGATCGCTACTGCAAGGATCTGTATGGTGCGCAGGTCACTCTTGTGGATTGTTTCTTGAGGTATGAGACCTCGCGATTCTGCTAGATATCCACTGAGAAGAATCAAAATGGGGATATATATATGTGTGGGTGAATGATTGTTTGTTTGTTGACTTCTCGTCCTCATTTCGAGTTATCCAATGTTTTTGTTTCTCTTATCGTACTTTTTGATGAGTTTTGATCGGTTATATCATTCCGGTTTAACTGATAAATTAGTTTTTCTTATCGCTTTGAAATGTTTGAACTTGCGAATCCTCCTACCAACCTCCACCGCACCTTGTTGAAGACACTGTGAGAGTTGTGTCTCCCTCTGTAATTTTTTTCCCCCGTTGAGTCAGATTTCTTTCATTACCCAAGCCAATAAATGACAAATCTCATACAACAACACTAGATTCAAAACTCTAGAATGAAACATCAATCACTCACAATATTCCTCGAAAGATACGTATATACTAATAATACTATAGTATTACACAACCTATACGAGCTAAAATCTGCCAGTACAACCTCGTTTAAACTTGTTAGGTATACCAATTTTCTCTTAGTCATAGTACCTACTACTGCGCACATCACGCCTTGTTTCACCGTAAGTGCGTCGACATCTTTCTCTCCACACAAACGTAACCAGATCACACACCACAATGGTTTTCCATTGGTGAATTTGCCTTGGAACATGTTTTGCCTCCAATTCATGTATATACAAAAAAATAAAAATACTTGAATTTGTTCATAAAAATACATGAATTTGTTCGATAAAAAATCGAAACAAGTTAATGTCACTACCAGTACCACTAGCTAAAGTAAACAGAGAAAAGTGGGAAAGGAGCAAATTAAAGGACTATGCCGACGTAATCTACAAGAATAAACTCGTCGTTTCTTTTTGTCGTTCTTTGCCTTTCTTTTAGCAACGCTTTCTTTTTGTCTTCTTCATTTTTGGGTTTCGTCGACTATGGCGAGAATTGGTGATACAATTAAGACGACGATTATATTCATCACGCATACATAATGTGTGCGCTCTTCGGCCCTGTTTCATTAGTACTATTTGGTCTAGTTGAGGATCTTTCTAAGTAAAACAATGAGATTCTCGCCAGTCGCCACAAGTATTGAGTTAAATTACTAAATTAGTAATAGGCATCGGATGACAATGGTGTGGAATTGTCTAAAACATTATCATCCACGCTTTCAAATATCAAGACATATACCTGCTCCATACTCATGTGGGAAAGGTTTTGCAAACTCATTTCCACACTTGTGGGTTTCGGGTACTCATAAGTAATACACATCCCGTGCATCCAACATTATAATATCTAACTTTTTTTCATGCAAATTTTAACATTAAACGCACCTACTATATCATGAAGTTAACAAAGAGACAATCATTCTTACTACGGTTCAAAGAATCTTATCCTAAAACATTCATTAATTCATAAGATAGAGTACAATGTAATTCAAATCATTATTCTCTAACTCTTATACATCTACTAAGTAATAACTAACTAACATAATCTTGTTAACACGAAGGAAAAAGTGAAAGAGTGAAGGGAGAGTTGAGGAAAAGGAATTAGTTTTAATTTGGGTGGCCACTAAATTGCATTTCTACTATTTATTTTCTTGAGTTACTGTCACTATCTTAGATTCATGCATTTTTTATATGTGAAGAGATGCTCTTGGTGGGGCGGGTATGAGTATGGGTATGGGGCGGGGGAACTAAAACCATATTCGCTCCATACCCATCAAACATTTTCTTGACCTTTACACATCTCACCAAGAATGTATTTCAAGAGCTAATCTTGACTCCTTTTTCATTCTCATCCACATCATTCGAAATTCAAACAAGCCCCCACATGAATGGAGAATGTAACTTCTGAAAACTACAACAAAAATTATGACTCTCAACTAAGAATTAGTTGCATTGAGATGTGTGTATTTCTCTTTAACCTTCCGCAGTGAACATATATCTATTATACTCATTAATCGGTAGATCCGATATCTTTCATTAGAAACAATAATCGACGATTTTGAATCATCAAAATAAGTCCAACATACTAAATGCGCCATCTTGAAACTTAGGGTGTGGAATTTGGAGAATTATGAGTCAAATTTCACTAAAAAAAAATTAGTAGTACCATAATCCAAAATCTTGCTAATTCAATATCCATATAGCATTTTCTTAATAAGAAAATACAATACTGCTAGATTTACCCTCGGTATAGCATATTCTTTGCCATATATATATATATGGTTATATATCATTAACCATTTTTCAATAGAGATTACAGTTCTTTACTTCCATGTATATATATATACATGGGGAAGGCATATGAATAACACAAGAGCCCATTATCTACATAGGCCCTCGTGATTAACTTCACAACTTTTATTTCTTCACACTTTGTCACACACATAAAAGAAAACCACAATCACAAGTACAAATACAAATGCAAAGAAAAGGGACATAGCAAAGACGTCCAGAGAATTATTCGAACGATCCAAATCCGACGACACCAATTAATCAGAGCAGCATCTCTTCGATCAAGCTAGGCATTCATTCATGACGTGCATTCGTCCATTGCATAGGTCTCGTACTTCAGGGAGCAGCTGGCAACGTTGATCTGTGCGCCGTACAGATCGTGGCATATGTTGTAATTCAGCAACTGGTCTTGGCAATAGGTAAGACAATACTTGCAATCCTCCTGAGAAAGGGAGTCCAAACACGTAGCCCTACCATACATTTGGGGCGTGCCGTCGTCGTCGGCGGTAACGCTGCAAAATGGGGAATGGGAGCTCGTCTGTTCGATGTCGCCGCTTGTGAGCCTCGCGGCTTGACCTTTCCTGAAAGAGCTGGCGTCGTACTCGGAGCCGCAGAGAGCCGAGATGAAAGTTAGGTCTGGTTCGCCTTCAACGTTTTCGAGTACTTTCGTGGTAGCGATCAGTATGAACATCAGGGGAAGGAAGAAGGGTATGAAGGAATTGGCCATGGTGAATGGTGTTGTGGTCAAGTAGCTTGGGATTTGATGCTTTTTGTATTGGGCTACTTCGTTCGTTGATGTTCAATTTATACTACAACAATGAAAGGGTGGATTTGTAAATATGAGAGTTTAGAGGGGGTTCCTCGGAATTATATATGTTTTCTTTTGTACACAACTTGAACCTACAAGAGGCCAACTGTATTAGCAATGAAAATGGAAATAATCTTTTTTTTTATAGTTAATGATCACATGGCTAAAATGTGGGGGAAAGTGGTAGCGGGTTATTTACATAATTTCTTGTAAGACTACCCATTCCACCAGTGTTTTACACTGAGCACATTTAAATTTTGAGTTCACTCTAGAACTCCTTCATTTCTCTTCAAAAATGTCTTGTCAGTTAAAGTCGATTTCTTACTTATAAATCTTGATTTTCACTTGTGCTTTGTCAATGTGGGATTCTCATAGTGTGTTGCATTTTCCTTGATGCTTTGATTCATTTAGAGGCCCAATAATGGTAAACGTAGGGGGGCGTCCTACCTAGGGGTGGCTATTTGGACCGGGACCGGATGAAAAACCGAAAACCGGACCGTATAACCCGGACCGAGACCGGACCGGGACCGGATAGTAAACAATCCAATCCAATCTTTGGGCTTAGATTTGAGGTAAAAAACCGGATAAAGACCGGATAAGAGAGCTCAACATCCAAAACTTAAGGGTAATTTGCATAAACGGTCACAAACCTTTGGACTTAGTACAAAACTTAACCAACTCCTCACCCTTTTAGGCCTTAGGCCACTCAAATTCCCACAATCTCAATATAAAACAAAGACCGAATTGGGACCGGACCGGGTCAAGACCGGACCGGATCAAGACCGGACTGTATCCAATCCAATCTTCGGTCCTTATATTTTCAAAAAAACCGGACTGGACCGGATCAATTTGGGCCAATTTAACCGGACCGGACCGTATAGCCACCCCTAGTCCTACCTACCATGTCTTCGAGTCATTATAACTTGAACTTTTTTACCAGTTATAGCAGGTTTTACAAGTTAAATAATGTAAAATGTAATGTTTATTGCGTAACATTTATGTAATGCATGTTAGTCTTACGTAACATTTATAGAATGGTGTTATATTAGACTTCTGTTATGTGATTGCACTTTACGTCACTCAGTGTTAATACTCATTACGTGAAAAAGAGCATCTATTACGTAACTCTTACATAACACTATTCTGCAATTGTCACTCAAAATACATGTAGATTACATAAATCCACCGATCAGTCCAGAATAAGGTTTGCTTTCCGTCACTACTTTTTCTTGTTACATGAAGCCAGTTATTTCTTCCATGATAGTTTAGTATATGTGTTATGTAAGACTCCTTGTAATGCTTTTCCACTTTACTTAACTCCATGTCAATATCCATTACGTAAAAAGAACAACTATTACATAGGTCTTACGTAATATTATTCCACAACTGTTATGTAAAATACAAGTAGACTACATGAATATATGTTACGTGATGTCGGTGCTTTCTTTCGTAATAATTTAATAGCGTGTTACGCGTAAGACTTCTGTAATATTATTCCGCTTTACGTAACTTTATGATAGTATCAATTACGTAAAACTAACATTATTACTGAAATATTACGTAAAAGTACTATTCTACATTCACTACGTAAAAAATATTCTACTGTTACTTAAAACTAACATATGTTACTTGAACATTGTGTAATGACATTACATTTTCTGTCATGTCACCTGCAAAATTAATCTTCCATAACAAATCAAAAGGTTGAACTTATAATTAACTAGGACGGGTTGTAGGAATTCTCAAACTTAGGATTGTGAATGACTGCCAACCGAAATGCTAAAAGTGTAAACAAGAAATTAAATTGTCGTGTTGATTTTGTCATGGACGTTAATGATGTACTACTCACCGATCCAAGCACATTTCTCACAACAAATTTGTCTTCTTTTACAATATTCTCAAAACGTGCATGTTACATTTATTAATTTTCTCAAGTTGTCTTTTTTCTTGACCTAATCGCCTTTTGTTTTGTTTGGCATTATATATC